AGTGATAAAACAAGAAAGAGTTCTTGTAAAATTTCCTTATATATATATATATATTCCATACTTATTGAAAAACCGAGTAGCTTCTACTAGCGAAGAAACTATAATCGGAGCCAAAGTTTAAAAGGTGGATATGATTAGAGGGAAGACGTTTGGATTCCTAAAGTGAGTAACCACAAGAAGTGATTGTTACCAAACTGGGAATTGATTTCCTCATACATCGTTAGTTTTGAAGGAGTTCAAGAACAAAGGTAATTTTTATAAATTACATATCAAATCAAAATTAGTAAAAGTTACTAGATTTTAAATGATGCTTACTTGTTATCTCGTTATACTTATGTACGGAATAAGTATTTATAAGATAAATACTTGTAAAATTTTAAATTTCGCTGCAAACTCTTTTTCGTACAGTATATCGAACCCAACATACACATCCCAAACCCTGTCTTGAAGCATCACTAAAGATGGTAAAACTCCGAGAAGGATCTGGAATAGTCAACACTGGTGCTGTGGTATGCCTCTTCTTGAGTTCCTGAAAGCTGGATTCACATCGATCAGTCCACTCGAATTTCACAGACTTCCTCGTCAGCTGGGATAAGGGAAGGGCGATCTTGGAGAAACCCTCGATGAACCTGCGATAATAGCCAGCTAGACCGAGGAAACTGCGAACCTCGGATGGATTCTTCGGTGTTGACCAATTCTGAACAGCGGCAACCTTGGATGGATCAACCTCGATACCTGCCTGAGTAATAACATGGCCAAGAAAGGCTACTCGCTGGAGCCAGAATTCGCATTTGGAGAATTTAGCATATAACTTTTCACGTCTAAGGGTTTCAAGAACAACCCTCAGATGCTCTTTGTACTCCTTCTGGCTCTTGGAGTAGATTAGAATATCATCAATGAAAACAATAACAAACTGATCGAGGTAAGAATGGAATATACGGTTCATCAAGTCCATAAAAACCGCTGGAGCATTACTGAGGCCAAATGGAATAACTACGAACTCGTAATGACTGTACCGGGTACGAAAAGCAGTCTTTGTAATGTCTGACTCCTTGATCTTCAGCTAGTGGTAACTTGATCGTAAATCAATCTTGGAAAACACACAGGCTCCCCTCAGCTGGTCGAACAAGTCGTCCATTCTTGGAAGCGGATATTTGTTCTTGATAGTTAACCGGTTGAGATCCCGATAATCAATGCACATGCACATGGAACCATCCTTCTTCTTGAAAAAAAAACGGGTGCTCACCATGGTGAAACACTCGGTCGAATGAAACCGAGCTTCAATAATTCCTGGTTTTGAGTCTTTAATTCCTGTAATTCTTTTGGCGCTATTCTATAAGGTGCTTTAGAAACTGGGCCGGCTCCTGGAACAAGATCAATAGAAAACTCTACCTGCCGGTTAGGTGGTCCTCCTGTAAGTTGATCCGAAAACACATCCACAAACTCACGAACAATAAGAACGTCGTGAGGTGTCCGTGCTTTCAGTTTATCATCGTCAAGACTCACAAGATAACCCTGGCAATCACCTCGTCGTAACATCTTTTTAGCTTTCGCCATGGAAAAAAATGAGGTAAAGAACGAGTCTTGGTGCCAAAGAAAGTAATATGATCGTCTCCCAGAAGATAAAGATTAATCTCCCGATCATGACATCAGATATCTGCATAGAAATAAGTTAGCCAATCCATACCGAGAATGAGGTCAAAGTCCCTCATCTCGAGAACATAAGAGTCGTTAGACAAGATACGACCACCGATAGAAAAGTTGAGATCAGTGGCTTTGGCATCGGTTGCTATCTTTCGTCCCGGGGCTAAACTAACCTCGAGAGGATTGACAGCGGTAATAGAATGTACTCCAATGGCATCCAGACATCGTCGTGATATAAAAGAGTGAGTTTCTGTAGTATCAAATAAGGCGAAAACAGGAATATTGTTTAGCATAATCATCCCAGACATAGTACCTGGGTGTTGCTCCACCTCGGCCTGGTCTACAGCATAAACATGAGCCTGCTGTCTGCCTCGTTGCTGCTGCTGGGGTGGCCTCGGGGCTTTTTTCTTGGCTGCTGCTGCTGTGGCTGCTGTGGTGGTGGCTGCGGTCGCTCGGGGAAGTTGCTGACAAAATGTCTGGGCTGGTGACAGTAATAGAAAATGTCTTGGCCGAAATGACACTCTCCACGATGGGGTCGTCCGCAAGTAGTGCATGGTGGAGTTTACTGCGGTTTGGCTACACCTGGTTGTCTCGGTCGGTTCCTCCTGTCAGTCTGGAAGCCTTTCCCTTTCCTCTTTTTGTCCTTCGGTTGTTGGCCAGCAGCTGGTTGAACTGGTGGGGCTGAGGATGATTGGGCCGAGGTAAATGGCTGAAGACGATCATGGTTGGCCTCCCTCCGGATGCGGGCGTCAAATTCCTGGGCTATGGTGACAGTACGGGCATAGGTCTGGACATCGTGACCTACAATGTTGTGACGGACTGCTGGAGAAAGCCCGTCAGTGAAACCTCTCGATCTCTTTGCCTCTGTGCTCACCAGATCGGGAACAAAGGCTCCAAGTCGAGTGAATTCTCGTTCGTACTCGTCTACTGAACGAGTACCTTGTTTGAGCGCCAAAAATTGATGCTCAATTTCTGCTCAATAGTACGCGGGGTAATATTTCTCACGAATCAACTCCTTGAACTTTCCCCACGTACAACCTTCCTTTTCACCTGGACGCATTCCCCAGTAGGCGTTCCACCACAGACGTGCGTCACCCGTCAATTGGATCTGTGCACATAGAACGCGATAGCAGTCAGGACAGTCCATGACCTCGAAAATCATTTCAAGGCTCTGGACCCATTCGTCAACAATTCGGGGATCTCCCTCGCTGAAAAATTTCTCTGGATAGTAGTCGCGAAACTGAGTGACTACGGTGGCCTGGGGAACCTTCTGATGATCTGGATCCATACGTGGCGGCATCTGAATATTGAAAACGTTCGATTTTATCAGATACAGGAAAAATACTTTAACTGATTAATAACGCGCATAAATCTCTTGACGAGTTGCTTAACATGTCCTGGAAATATTGACATTGAGTCATAGACATAATGGATTATAAATCTTGAACATAACTCGAGCATCCTAACTAATTCATAACTGTGGATTCTACTGAGCATAGACTTAGTAATTTGTTCATATTTAAAACATAAATCAGCACTTACCTGGTAGTCGGCGAGGCATGAGCGTGACGTGGTCGGATTTTATAAACATTTTCTGACTCATAAAATATTCAGAGACGCAGAAACGTGCTCTGACACCAACTGTAACACCCCGCTATATCGTAAATATCAGAGCTAATTTTTGCAAAATTCTTTCCTTAAATTATTTATTAGTTTACGAAATCGTGACTCAGAGTGCTAACATAACTCGTTACTTTGCTTTGAAATCCGTTATCTTTATTTTAGTTTTTAAAGAAAAATGGTTTATCATAATATAAATAGTACGACCGGCAAATCGGACCCAAATGACTAAGTTTGACAAACAGTAAAAGTCAGCGGAAAACGTAGCGTGGCAAAACATATAATTCAAACTACGGGAAATAGTAACAGTACTGCTATGCCAAATTCAAATTGTATAAACATTATCCTGAACAGCCCGTCAGCTCACACCTATGGTCCGACTCTGTGACCTGAAAAACATAGATAAACATGGGGCGTGAGCATAAAGTCCACTGTGCTCCTTAGGAACTCATACTAAGGTAAACAGTGAAAAGAATTGCAATATCATAAAAACATGGCATGGCATGGCATGGCATAGATGTAGCATAACTACAATATCTGCCAACACAAACGTCCTGGACACCATGTGCACACTCTAGTGGGCAGATAAGGCCACTAGAACCTAGAATGGGTTTACGCACCTGGACACGGCTACCATTCCAAGCGGATACATAGCATGATACATACCTCAAACATGGTATAGTAATTATAATCAATGTAATACCCAGTCTGAGTCCCCACCTGAACCGTCGATATGAAAATGGCAGTGCTGATGACTATAGACTGATCAAACTGTAACATGATATAAACAAATACTAAGTACTATGCTCAGACTGATCAAAATAACTGGCTAACATGTTAGGATGCTTGACTTGAACTTGACATGGCACATGGACTTAACCGGTATAACTGGACTTGGTTTAAAATAGAACCGGATTAACATAATTATACTGAACTGGACTGGACTTAGAATTTAGCTGAAATCCTGACATGAACATGAACCGGGTATTAAAACAAGTGATAGGCCTGTCTGAACCGGCTGGTCTGCGGTCTGGTCGGACTGTCGGCCTGATGTGGCTGGGCGGTCGGCCGCTGGCTCGGCCAACCGGCTCGGTCCCGCGCTTGGCCTGCTAGTGCCCGGGAGCGGTCGCTGGCACGGACTGGCTCGGCCTAAGCACGGCTGGGC